ATTAGAACTAAAGTTATCGTGTCCCAAAGCATCAACCAATCAAATTGCTTATCTCTGCTTACCCTAAGCGGAAAATGCTCATCTTCGAACTCCATCAAGGCATTGACCTAATCAACACATACACCAAGTTTGAACATTCTAGCTCAATTAGGAAGAGAGTTATCGTGCCCCAAAGTATCAACCAATCAAATTGCTGCTTACCCTGAGCAGAAAATGCTCATTATCAAACTTAGTCAAGGTATTACTGTAATGAAACTATACACCAAGTTTCATCAATCTCACTTAATTAGAACTAAAGTTATCGTGTCCCAAAGCATCAACCAATCAAATTGCTTATCTCTGCTTACCCTAAGCGGAAAATGCTCATCTTCGAACTCCATCAAGGCATTGACCTAATTAACACATACACCAAGTTTGAACATTCTAGCTCAATTAGGAAGAGAGTTATCGTGCCCCAAAGTATCAACCAATCAAATTGCTTATCTCTGCTTACCCTAAGCGGAAAATGCTCATCTTCGAACTCCATCAAGGCATTGACCTAATAAACACATACACCAAGTTTGAACATTCTAGCTCAATTAAAAGTTATCGTGTCCCAAAGCATCAACCAATCAAATTGCTTATCTCTGCTTACCCTAAGCGGAAAATGCTCATCTTCGAACTCCATCAAGGCATTGACCTAATCAACACATACACCAAGTTTGAACATTCTAGCCCAATTAGGAAGAGAGTTATCGTGTCCCAAAGCATCAACCAATCAAATTGCTTATCTCTGCTTACCCTAAGCGGAAAATGCTCATCTTCGAACTCCATCAAGGCATTGACCTAATAAACACATACACCAAGTTTGAACATTCTAGCTCAATTAGGAAGAGAGTTATTGTGTCCCAAAAAGTGTGACGGACAGACAGACGGACCGACAGACGGACAGACAGACGGACGAACCCATTTTAATAGTCCCCTGCTTTCTTCGAAAGGCGGGGGACAAAAATATATTATTCATAACCCAATAAATATAGAGTTCAAATAACATCCAACATATGATGCAGGTGAACTGACGTATCAAGTTTTAATGAAAATAAGAATGCATAATTACCAATAAAGAAATATGAAAAAGAAGAATAAGTGGGTTCCTAGACGAATTAAACTCTCTCTCATGTACAGCTTTAACTGTGATCTATTGTGTATTTCTGTTGGATCAAACATACCTATATTACCAGTTGGCTTGGTAATAAATCTGAAAAAATTGAAAACATTTAAAGATTTTTTATTAATTTATAGAAATATGAAAATGTTTAAATGCTAACATCTAACAATAATGTGAACTTTTTAAGAATTATTTCATGCAGAACATCAAATCATCGGAGGTGTGAAATGTGGTGAGAGTTTTGCCAATGACACTATGTTACAAAATCCGAATAAATGGATACCAACAAAGATTTGCAGCTTTATATGTCAACTATATGACTAGATAATTACTGGCTTTTAATATATTATGCAGATATAAATTACTGTACTTACTTATATGTAAGCCATGCTCCTAATGGAACATACATTAAAAATAAAATCCAATGACCAGTGAGCAGCAAAAGAATACTGGGGATATTCTGTGCAATTATCTCTGGAATCATCCACTGAAAAGACATCAATTATTACTGATCATTAACAATTTGCCATTTAAAATTTATATCTGACAACAATATTTAAGTCTGTTATTAAATTTACATTCCTGTATTTCGTCAACAGACAGACTTTACTAGTCTACCTTGCTGGCTTACCCTGAAGGTAGAAAAATGACACCGTAATGAAAAGTGGGTTAATTGTGTAATCAAATCAAATGTAATAATAAATACACTCACCCCATTTAAAAAATGGAATAGGTTTAATGTCCATCTGGGCTAATGGAGACGGGCATATACTCCATGCAGTGTGCTATGAGTAAAATTTTTCCAGGACAACAGCGCTACAACTTACTCTTATTTCAAATTCCTACTGTCAAGGGTTCTTTACTTTGCATGCAAATGCGTACATGGAACCTCAGATTTTTCATAACATTCGAATAATTAACCATGGTTCTTGGTCAGGCCTAAGTCCTGCACCACTGGCAAGGCTAAACAACGCCAAAATATCTTGAGGAAATTTCTCAGCCTACATCAGGATCGAAACCCAGATCTCCAGGTTAGCGAGCAAACCCCTTACCCACTGAGACGAGCCACAGTGGCTCCTCTTCCAGTTCATGAACTGATCAGGTTTCTGCTTACAGGGTAAATGAACAATCCCTACAAGTAGTGCATCTAGCTATGTTAGTAGAAATATTAATAATATCACCTTATTCAATCTGTCACAGCATGTTGTTGCATTAAGATAATCACATTCTAAATCTGACAGAGTAATAACCTGGGTTAGTTAAGGAATGATAAAATATAATGCAGAATATTCCCTATTCAATATAGTATAGATTGGCTCAAATAAATAGATAATGCTAATTAACCTAGGTATTCTAAATATATCATCAATTTGTCATATTTTCATTATTTACTAACACTTGGAATTTCTAAGCCTCAAATGATTTGGCAAAATGCTATGTACAGAGCTACTAGTGTTTGACACAGATGCAGTGTTCAGATGTAGGCTAGGTATTTGTGCTGTGTAAATCAATAAACTGCAATATTTGTAGCCTCATGGCTACAATTGATACACTATTTGAGGCTTTCCGCAAGTAAAATTAGGTTCAATTGCAAAATTTTCAACACATCATCACAGTTTGCATGGAAATAAGTAATTATGTTACAAATATTGAAGATTGGAACACTGAAATCTTAATCTTATCTTACTGAACAGTTTTTCTGTATATTAGAGTGATTTGAAATCATATGATTCTGGCTTGACAGCCATTTTAAAATTAACATAAATTTCGTATAGCAGTTAAGTTTAATAAAATCATAATTATGGGGTAAGGTTTCATGTTTATTTCAATGGGAATCGGTTTAATATATGTTAAGTTATGTACAGTACAGTTTAGGGTCAATGTAATAGGAAATTAAGGGAGTTATAGGCCACTAACTTTCTTGTAGTTGTGATCAAATGACTACCAAACTTGCTCAAAGGAAGGTCTTAGGACGGCCCACTACTGTGTCTGGAGCAAGACGGAAGACATCAGTTGAGGAACAATTTCTATAAATCAATAAGCTGGAGAACCGTTCATATAAAGTTTGTTTGGCTCTATTCTTTGAAACCTTATAATAGACGAAAATGGGTCAAAAAGCACATACAATGTCAATCTGATTAAAATACAGTTCTATATTTCGTTCGGGTTTTTTATACTTTCGATGGCCTACACTACATTAAGATCTGACAAGTTGTACTGGTAGGTCGTGTCAGAGGTCGTACGAGCGGCCAGACATTGATTAATCAATCAGCGTTGATGTTTCTAGTGGTTTGGGAATCAAGTGGTTAAGTGGGTAAGACGCTGGCTCGCTAGCCTGGAGGTCGGGTGTTTGATCCCTGCAATGGCCAAGAAAGTTCATCGAGATTTTCCGGCATGGTTTCCCCTTGTCAGTAATGCAGGACGGACGGCCTGACAAGGACGGCTGTCAAGTCATTCGGATGGTACGAAAAACCGAGGTCCTGTGTACATATTGGCGTGCACGTAAAAGATCCCTTGGCAGTTGGAATTCGATATAAGAGTAGGCCGTAGCGCCGCTGCCCGGGCAAAATTTCCCTCATAGCACACTGTATGGCGTATGCCCGTCTTCATTAGCCCAGTTTAGGAGTAGGACGTTAAACCCCATTTCATTTCATTTCATTTCTAGTGGTTTACCCACAGTTCCGTGCATGGCATGCCAAGAAGTCGCTGTAACTGACCGTTTCATTGGCTAATCCCTCACTTCAACCAAAACGCTGATAATATAACAACTCTTCCAGATCCTAGTGTAGTAAAGACAAGTATTAATTTATATGAATGCAGATATTCAGTTTGTAAAAGAATTATTGTAATTTCTAATCAATTATGTTCAGTGAAATATGTGAACAGTCTAAATTGAACGACAGTTATTTATGCCTACATGCACTTAGCCAATTCTACACATTTTTTTTTTTCATTTTTTTTTTGTTGTTTGTGAATTGTTGTACTGACTGATTAAAAATGTTCATGGAGTCTTTATTATAGAATATTAGGACCCCATATTTTCACGGCAAGATAAAATCATCAATATTGATTAAAATGGACCAATGTAGAATTCATGTTTTTAATTTTGTGTAAAATATTGAGTTAGGCCTAGAAGTTTAGCTCCTTTGGCCGGTCTATCTCTATCTTAAAAATAATTACAAATAACAGTATTAACACTGTACAGGCAAAGCAAAGTTAAGCAAAGGGAAAGTGAATATGTCTACATATTAAAATGATGGTTCCATTCCCAATTAACAAAATGATAATTAATCACAAAAGGATACGAAATATACAGCGAGAAATAACAGCGTGGCTTCATCGATTAAGGCAAATATAAACAGCAAAGCATCCGTTCCCATTTTCCTGTGTGAAACTATCTTTTAATACCAGGATAGAATTGCGCATCTATTCGACATTAGATATTCATCTAACAGTATTTTAAAATATAACTATTTCTTTTTATCCAAAGAAAACAAAATATTCTGTTAACTATTAAAACGGCTCGATTACTAGCAATTTGTACGAAAATGAAAAACAAACAAACGAATATTGAACTTTGAAGCATGAATTTATTCATTCGACTGAACGGACGTCAAAACGTTAAAGAACTGCAAAGGGAGTTAACCTTTTTTTCAAGTTTGGGCTGTTTTTCTTTTTATTGTTAAGAAAATGGAATCAAATTATTTTAAAAGTTGACTCATCATAAAATAATTATTTTTATTTATTTGATTCTACTTTGAATTTGCTGAAAAGTGAAAAGTTAAGTTAGCCTCTATTGAAGAGTTATTTTACTTGTCTGGATGAAAGAGACTTTTGTTTAGAAGGAAGACAACTCCAGAAGAAAATATTTTCGTCAACAAAAAAAATAAATATTCCCATGACTTCGTAAAATAAAACATTGCTGGACAAATATTGCCATGGATCCTATGTTTTTGGCATATAGTTACTTCAGAAGGCGAAAATACCAGAAATGTGATGAAATATGTTCTCAGCTACTAGAGAAAAATCCTTATGACCAGGTATTAAAGCCAAAGAAGGAGCTAAATCGATAATAATAATATTTGGGACCTAGAAATTGACACAAATGGGTCGCAACGCATACAATAATGTAATATGAATGTATATAAATTGATTTACATTCAATCGTTTCTGTTTTTACTGTAATTTCTAATCAGTTAGGTTCGGCAAAACCAGAAGTCTCAATCGAATGGCAATCTCTAGCGTCTGCATGGTTATTCCAGTCTACGCCGATAGTATTTATTGCGCATGCTCTCCAAATAAAAATATAGTGTCACCGTTTGACATGACTTGTGGAATATGCCTAGCCTCATTTTTCGAGTCCCTTATTACAAATAGTGCTGAAACGCATTATGGTACACGATTCGTGTACCAATTGTAAAATGTTTATTTTGTCTTATATTGGATATCAGAAGGCCATCTTTTCCCAGTAAGATCACAACATCAATGTTGATTTAAACAGACAAATAATTTGTGTTTTCAATGTTGAAGATTTTGGATGATATTTAGTCAGAGACTTAGCTACCAGTACTTTAAGTTTTTAGTTTACGCTTGTCTCGTTTCGTGACCAGGCTGTTTCGTACCACCTAGTTCATTCGTATCTCAAATTGATTCATACCTTTTTTATATATGTTGTTGAAATAAATTGAAATAAAGGTGAAACCTTACCACATAATTAAATGATTTGAATTAGAATTAGAACACGCACGTGATTTCGCGTCACCTATTGTCGGAACCGTCGTAAATTTAAAACAGATTTTTTCGATAATGAATAAACTACTTAGTCTCTGAACCATTGTAAATTTTAAACGGATTTCTTCGATTATGAACAAACTACTTATAAACTTACCTGTGTGTTTGAAATCAACTCCTGTTAAATAAAATCTATTGCACAACTAAATATCCCCAACAAATAAAAACGTTCTTCTTTAAAAACTGAAATCCCACAAAATTGACACAGAAAATTACCAAAATGGAAGTTGATTACATCAATCTTCAGGAAATATCATTTTGTATATATAGGGGTGACGGCATGGCAAATCGAAACGGTTTTCGGTACTACTTTTACGACAATTCAAATTTAGTTTAAGAATAAACTATAAACTTGGCATTGAGTTTGAGCGTTCACACACATACATGTAACTGCCCGTATTCCATTATTTTGTTACTGTCTCTTACATTCTAGTACAATCTCTGCAAATTTTTTAACTTTACCTTTTAAAACATTTTGTTTTAAATATTTAATTAGAGACTTACCCGTGTGTTTGAAAGCAATAGTTTCAATATTAATCACCTCCAATGTAATTGATATATTCGTTGCCCAAACTGAAACGATCGTAATGATCGCACTTGATTTTGATTGCAACAGCCTGCACCCATTTCACCCAGCCTGCACCGTACGTGATAACCCTTAGTAGAAATTTTTTGTTGGTTTCGTTCATCACGTGACTGGTTCTCTGACTGTTGTGTTGATGTCAGTCGAAAATATTAGTGAATATTTTGATTTTTCAAGAGAGAACTTTTTATGCATTGGAATTGGAATACATGTAGATACCTGAAATATAAACAAACAATTCTGGAAAACCTGCATCTCTATTAAATGGCAAAGTCTTGATTAAATTCCATTGTAGTATTAAATAATGGTGTAACGTTGATGGTAATTTACTTCATAAATTCTTCTAGAAGTGAATAAAAACATCCTAGTTTAGTAGTTATTATGTCGTGATGTTATAGAATTTAGAATGTAGATTTTTTTCCGGGTTGCTAAGTCTACCTGTTCGATATGCTTTACGATTACGTCAGAATGTATTTTGAATCCACACCAATTACAGCTCAGATTATGAATTCTATCACTTTATATGGCTTGTTACCTGAAATACAGATCCGTAATCTTATCCTACCGGACATAAATTTTCTGGGTTCCCTTGAACTCTTTGAGAAGTCCTAGATTTAACACTGGTTTCGAAGTCACTTGCACAATATAGGAATGTGACCAAATGTATAATTCTGAGTTGCTTTCCTTTAAGTCTTTGATCACTACTTACAATGTACTGTATGGATGTTCTATTGATTTTGACATGGGCTATGGTAAGAAATAACGACAAATGATTTCGGAATATTTTCGATGACATTACTCCAGTCCACAGCCTTAATGGGTGACATAGTACCAAAAGAGACACATTTGTTTGTCAATTCTAGTAACACATCAAACAATCCTTTTGTATTTTTCTCTTTTCTTTAACATAATAAAACTATTTGTTATAGCCTACATGTATTTTATTATATTGGATGGTAATCTAATACAATTACACAAATTGGATTGTCTATAACATTTATAATAGTGCAAAAATTTGATAAATGAAATCATGTTTTGTTTTAGCCCTTTCCTAACCTCTGGAAAAGATTTTCAGATAATAATAGAGTATCTGCTAAGAGAGCTGGATAAAAAAGTATACGTTGGCTATACTGATGAAATGGAGACGAACTTGAATATATTTACCGTATAATGTGATGGAAATTAGACTATTGTTTCTGTCAAGGTTTTCTGTGGAGCGTGAAGATTGATTTCTCACCTAGAAATCCCTGGGTTCTCACCTTTCATGAGTGGCGATTGTGGGGTTGAACAGATGGGACTAAAATTGAAGTCCACCTGCGTACATTGGCATGAATGTGAAATAACCCTTGGCAGTTGGAATTTGAAAAAAGTTTAAGCTGAAATGTTGCTGCCTGGGTAAGATTTCACCCTCACATTGCACACATAGCCATTGAAAGGAAAATTATCTCAAAATGACTGTAGTGTGTTGACAATATGTTAAACCAATTCCATTATTATTGCAGTCAGCATGGGCATTAAAGACAAGAGCCTTAACAGGTCAAGTATATGTCGATGAAGTAGATGTTGATGAAGAAGGTATAGCAGAAATGGTTATGGATGACAATGCTATAGCCACTGTAGCTCGTCCCGGTACTTCTTTAAGAAAACCTGGCACAGGTCAAGGACTACCTAGTCAAGGTGTAAGGTAAGTTGATGTATTTCAAAACTATTTCGCGATTTTTATTCAATATATTGATTATTAGTTACATTAAAGAAAATAAAACACAAAAACTTTAAAAGGTTGGAGAAATGTCCATACAATTTGATTTACAAAATGTGTGAGCTAGAAATGGGGCTTATGATTTAATATGATTTAATGGAGCTTATGATTTATCCCTTCATGTATAATAAAAATGATACACATTTTAAGGGTTTAGCTGAAGCAATGTATTTTCGCTAGTCCTACCGAACACAACAAAGGCTGATACTGCAAATACATTTTTATGAATATGTAGGCGAATAAATTCTGTAAAACTGAATTTTCATTGAGTTTGTTTATTATTTAAAATAGTGTACTCATTGTACTGAGAGAAGATTAGACTTAATACAAGAATAAAGTTTTCTTTGTATTTATAGGCCTAATAGAATTAACAAATTGTGCATAGAAATAGAATTAATAATAGTTCTCATTTACCATGCCCTTTGTTCGAACAGCTGTTTTGCCTAAAATAAACAAAGACAGTATGTATTTTTGATTTTTACAATATTTATATGTCATCATCTACTTTATTGTTCCTTTATACTTTTTCAGACCAGTTACTAATTCAGGTCGTCCTGTTAGTGGGTTTGTGCGTCCAGGTACACAGTCTGGTCGACCTGGTACTATGGAACAAGCCATTAGGACACCCCGTACAGCGCACACAGCAAGACCTGTTACAAGTGCTTCTGGAAGATTTGTAAGACTTGGGACAGTAAGTTCATTCAGTTCATACATGTCAGTCTAAAATCAGAAACCTACTTCTCCCATTGAATTGTATTTCTGATATTGATTTTACTACAGACTTTAGTTTATCACTCTGTAGCAAATCCAATACATCTTATTTTCTGTTTTTTTGTATTAATCAAGTATAGTGAGATCATTCACATGTTTGAATATTGAAAAAGTCATGGATTTATTGAATATTCTACTCTTAGATGTAATACTACTCCCACAGTACTGAATTAAATATGAAGAACATTTGATTTGTTAGTGATAGATATTTAGGTTTCTATCTTTGATTCAAAATGTATGATGGCTTATTACATGCAATATCGTGAAAATCTCTAAAACAACTATACTCTTCAAAAAAAAAGACACGAATAGTGACATTTCACTGTCAGTATACCCTCGGTCTACCACTGCCTCGTTGCAACAGGTACCGCGACTTGTCGCTGAACCAAACTGTTCTCCAGTGTTACTTTAGTCATACCCTGTGTGTCTGAATCCAATAAAGTCAGATTTGACAATTTTGGCGTATTTCGAAACAATAGCTCTAATGGGACGTCTGATCTGAGATCCTACGTCGTCCAGGAATTGCAGCTGCAGTAGAGGTCGCTGTTGTGAACCGTTTCCGTAAATGATGTAACCGGATGTGACGATCCAGGGCAGGCTAGGTCACTCTTGTTTGGCCTGAGCTCGGGCAGTCAGGTGTGGAACGTCGCTGTCGGTACCTATCCCAAAGGCGAGAGATGGTACTCTGGAAAAAGATTCAGCAGTCTGGCTACATCTGTCTGGGATTCACCTGCTTGTAAGCGACCGATAGCGTTGTTGCGTAGGTCTTCATTCGGATGTGGCATTACTTGGCTTGTTGTTTGTTTACATGAGGGGGGTTGAATGGCTGAATGGTTAGCACGCGCTCGCTGTATCATACGGTCTGTCATTGAGTCATCTGGCGGAGTTTCGATTCCGCGGTTGTACGTGTCCAACCTTGTGGGTTTTCTCCGGGCCCTCCGGTTTCCGCCCACTGCTAAAGAATTATTGAAATAAAATTGAACCATGTGTTAGTCCCGAAATGACCTAGTTTGTGTCGAGTGGACGTTTAACCCCATCTCTCTCTCTTTTTTGTTTACACGAGCAACTGATTTTGAAACCGAGAATCCCAGGATTTTAAAGGCCTTAGATTTGAGTTTCATGGGAATAGCTTGCGAAGTTGTTAAACTCATGTGTCTTGGTGCAATCAAGCAAAAATAAATTTCGGCAAAAGGTATGACCAGTCACAATTAGTGACCCTAGATTTAATACCAATCATGAATTTTTTTATCCTTACATAATGACATTAAAAACATATAAAATTTATGGAAACAACAATCCCATTAAAATAAAAAAATGATGATAAATGGGCTATGCGGTTTTTTTTTTGAAGAGTATATATATTGAGTAGTAGAATCAGTCCAAGGAACAGTGTATAGTCATTTGGATGGCACGGAAAACAGAGCTCCCATGTACATGTTAACGTGCATTGAAAAAAAACCTTTGGCAGTTGAATTTAACGATGACTTGGTGGAAATGCAGATATCTTGGCAAAATTTCCCATCATACATAGCACACAGTATGTTCTATACTAGTCTTCATTAGTCTAGTTGGTACAGAAAAGTAGGATGTTAAACCCCATTTCATTTCTAAGTAAGAAACCCAAATTTGAGTGTAGACAGATATTTTTAAAAAATATTTTATTTATGAATTGTTTATTATTTCAGGCTTCAATGTTGTCTACACCTGATGGACCATTCATTAATCTAGCAAGATTAAATTTCTCAAAATATGCTGCCAGACCAAATTTAGCTAAAGCTTTGTTTGAGTATATATTTCATCATGAAAATGATGTCAGAAATGTTAGTAAATACACTTCAATTATTTTGCATTTTTTGCATCTTAAAATTTTGAATTTAATACTGATGAACGTTATTTCCATTTTTTCAGATAATGTTTAATTTTTCACTATTTATTTAATTTTTCCCAGGTTAATCCATGCTAAAATATACTAAAATAGATTATTTAACATTTAATTAAGAAGATAAAATTGAAATATCAAGTATAGATAATCTCTCTTTTTGGATCCAATTAGATTAAAAGGAGGCCCATTAAAAGATTTTAACCAGGTGGCGCTGGCTTATTCATCACATCTTGTAAATACCATTTTTTGGGACAGATATTCTAGTTAGGGATTCAACTTTCATAGTGTGGTAGTTTGTAAGGGATTTAAAATCCCTCAAATGGCAATCAGTGGTATTAACTGAAAATCATATATTAAACCTATACAGTGAACAGATTCTCAAACAATAATGTGAAAAATTTGTTATAAAATATGTAACAGTCTATCTGTTGTTCAATATTATTTTGCATGATACTTTTAGGCATTAGAATTGGCTTCACTGGCAACAGAGGCCTGTCAGTTTAAAGATTGGTGGTGGAAAGTTCAACTTGCTAAATGTTACTACAGGTAATCTTTTCTTGATCATAAATGAATATAACTTGTTTTGTAATATTGTCAATCCTTCCATCATTATTCACACTGGAAAACATTACAACAGATATAATCATCTTTAAACATACAGATATATCACTGTCCACAATTAATGAATTATGTCTTTTTCTTTCTTTATTTCCCTACCGTTGGGTTATGCACAATTTTAAAAATTTAAATGAAGTAAATTGTTTCAGTAGTTGTTAAAACATGCATTTATATACTTACTAAGTCACTTTGTACATACTTATGTTTAGTTTACAAAAGGTTCAAAGCTATATCTCACCTGTCCTTTTGTTAATTTTTCTGTTGTTATGCATTTGTTATGCAATTACTATTTTTCCCAATCAGTGGGATGTTGGGGCTTTGTAATGATATCAATATTGATATACCTATACAACTTTATTTTGAAAAGCATTATTTAGGCTCACATTGTTCTTTCAATTATTTAGATGGGAGAAAATGACCCTGTATTTAAGGATTAAATTATCTTCAGGGTTTTAATTCGTTGTTCACTGAATTACTTTTTGTCATCTTTGCAGACTAGGTATGTTCCGAGAATCTGAATCACAATTAAAATCGGCCATCAAACAACAGGAGATGATTGATTCGTTTCTATATCTGGGTAAAGTTTACGTTCGACTAGATCAGCCACTTAGAGCTGTAGATATATATAAACAAGGCTTGGAAAAATTTCCAGGGGAAACAACTCTACTGACAGGAATAGCCAGAATACATGAGGTGATATATATGATGCAAAATTAGATGAAATGAGATTAGGTTTCAGAAGTGAGGTCCTATTATTGTAAATATTGATAAATAGCAAACACTCAATATTTCGAAACACAGCTTTTAATATGGAATTTGTCTTTATGTTATGGAGGCCTGGTTTTAGGATCAGAATTGTCAAAGATACAAATATGCAGTCAAATTGCCATGTTAATTACCACTTTCTTGGACCAGGTGTTTAGTTTACAGATGGAATTTGGCCCTCTTTTTAGTCAATTTTGTCTGTCTTTTGTTTTGCAGTTCTCCTATTTTATCTTTTTATTTATGAAGCATTGGATAAGAACTGAATGCTTCTAAAACAATAATTGGAATGAACAGATTAGTTTTGAATTTAGACAATATTTTATTCAATAAATTCACAGAATTTATATGATAAATATAGTATACGATAACAAGCTGCATCAGCTTACATGTATATGTAACTGCTTCCTTAGTTTTAAATACATTAACTCTTTCGCTGCTGAGTGGCACTAAAAGACAGCAGGGCTAAGTGCTAAGCCATTTAGCTATAAATAGCTCTAATTTGCAAAAATTTGCTTGAAATTAAATATCTGAACATACAATGAAAATATTTTGATGAAATTTTCAGGACACCTTACTAATATATAATTGGGTCTTAAATCAAATTTTGATGTAGGTACGATGATTTTGTTAGCCATATTGTTTATTCTATTTATATATATAGAATAATTATATATATAGAATAATTATTAAAAACAACAACAAAGTCTGTTTACGCTTATGCCTTATGCCAGTAGAATTACTACAAACGAAACACGTTTCTTCATTGGAATTTGTCGTCAATTGTTCACTTCGTTATCAGAGTCAAAATCTTCATATTCTGATGATCTAGAATCTATCTTCAATAGCTTTGTCCGTCGAAATACGTTTATTTGATGCCATTCTGTCTTGATGATTTTGCTCAAAATCACTTAAATATATCGATAAAGACTTTTTTCTCAAGCTAACAAAGAACTTCTGCCATTTATAGTGTTGTCACCCGTGTCTATTATTAGTGACATCTTTCCCGCACTGTACAAAATTTTGTCACCTGTACTAAAGTTTTTACATCAAATTTGTTGACTATAGTCGCCTGCCGCAGCGACCCGTCCAATCGAATATAGTTGCCTGCCGCAGAGAAAGAGTTAAGTACATTCAAATTGAACATATAAGTTTTTTATACTTTTATGTATCTTCTGTCTTGCAGGGTTTAAATGAATTGGACGATGCTGTGAAATTTTATAAAGATGTTTTACATTTTGATAATATGCATGTGGAGGCCATAGCTTGTATAGCAACACATCATTTTTATACAGATCAACCAGAAGTAGCTCTCAAATTCTACAGGTAATATTTTATCATTGACATACAAACAGATAGATCATGGATATTTTTAGGTGCATCTGGTCAAATCTTTATTTAACTGTATAACTTATACAGAGAATCAAGTAACATTTTCAAATGACAAGTAGGAAAAATCTACTTGTCACCGGCAGCAACTAGAATAATGTCAATAAAAATTCCGGCTAAAAATGTCTATGCCTAATTTATCCATTGACCATTCCAATAAAATTAGGAGAAGGGAAATCTTATTTTTTAACAAATTAGACAGTATTTCATGGCACGCGACATAGTAACGTGGTGTTGAATTTCTCCCTGATTAACAAGACTGAAACTTATATGGTCATTTTAAGTTTGTTCTGTACGTCTTTAAAAGGTTTCTTTGCATTGAAATAGTAACACTACTGATTTTGTGAAAGCCAAAATGTCATTGTCATTTATACTCCTAATAATTCATCCAAGCTGTGATTATTTGATGTTTCATTTTGACTTAAAAAAATAAAAGGAAATAAACCAAATGACTGACAGTTCTTTCCGAAGAGAGTTAAATATTTTGAAAGTTGAATTCCGTTTAGTGTAGCTAAAAACCAAACACGGAGGGTGGAGAGATGAGGTTTCTAATCTAATTATATATACCGGTAATTTTTTTTATATAATAAGCCAATTGGAGAAATAAAATTGTTACATGTCTTTTATGAAAAAAAAAGAGTCTGGAAATAATTTTGGATTTATGTCCCTTGAATTGTTGCATTCAAGGACTAATATTATCTTTTCTCATCTCAAGTTCTGTGTTAAGGATAACTGCTTCTTAACTCTCATGCATCAAGACATCCATATTTTGTGTAGCAGAAGTGAACTTTGAGCTTAAACTCTGCTCATTAAGTGCCAAACATTCCTTTCAGTTCACTTCATCTGACTTATCAATGTATCCTTTTGAACCTCATTGAAGAAAAAAAAACCCAGACGGAACTGCATGACATAGCTGATGAGTGTTGAATCATATCCCTCTAGATAGATTGAAGGAAGTGTTTTTATTGTAGGTTATATTGCGTACATAGATAATAATATGTTTTTACATAATGTTGTTTATTATTGTAATGAAATTAATATTTTGACAACCTAGATGGCCAAAGGTTACAAATTATTTATGTTTTTAGTGATAGTTGGAAGATAAAAATTCTATTATGAACAAATTGATAGACATAATAAAAAACAAAACAAAAACAGAACATTTATTAACATAACAAGACTATAATCAACTCTCTATATCATCAGATGGTCAAGATTTTAGCTCAGAATAAAGTAATTTGAATGATATTTGAAAGATATCTATTTTTGAACTGTTATAGGAAGAATGGCCAGCTCTTTATCTAAATCTTACATAATGCATATTTAAGAAAATTAAAGAATTTGTGACTCATTTGCCGGAAAATTCATGACATTTATTGTGCATTTTATGTAATAAGCACTGTTTATTGGAGTAGAATAATTGATCAATTGTTTATGAATAAGTTATGTGTGACAGTAATCACATGCACTCAGACATCATAAATACCATTACCACTGATAATGGGAGAAAAAGTTTATTTTCCCATGCTTTATTTCTGAAATAAACATCTAATTTTTCTTTGGACAGGGTAAGCAAATATTTAGAAGTAATGCAAAACTCAAAAATTGGATTCAGAGCATTTACTCTGATCTGATGGCTCTGAAGCAGGCTGCATTCTTCAACAAAATTAAATTGTGGTTCAGAATTAGTGTTTTCATACTGTTTGTATTTGGTTGAAACTAGTAAAGTTTGCCACAGACTTGACAGTCTAAATGCTGTCAGGTGAAATTCCTTTCCAGATTTTTATTTAAAAAATTAAAGATAGGTCATTAAATCTGAATATTAATGTAGGTAGTAGGTTTGTTAATGTCCAAGTCAAAATTTGACTATGTTCGGGTTAGTACAGATGTAAAGGCTGTGTTTCTTTTTTTATTTTATATGAAAAATAAATGGTATTTGTCTTTGTAATTAATAGTTGAGTTATTATAATGAGGATGGACCAACAACAATAAGTCTTTGTGTATTGTTAATAATAGGGCAAATGTCAGAAAAATACGGACATAATGTTGGCAGAAATTTACCCCTTAATCCATTTATATCTTTATCATCTGTTTATGAGAGAATGGAAAGTTCTTTGTAAACCATGCTTTTTATGAATTATGAGACAATGAAAAATTGTCTAAAAATAGAAATTGAACTGTACCAATATAATAGAACTAGAAGTCAGTGAATTAATAACAATAGCTCAAATCATCTGTAAATTATGAAAGAAAGATTATAGAGGGCGGAAGGTTAAAAGTGCTCTCATTATCCTCAGGGTTCTGTCATCTCATTAAGATCGACACTATATTGGATCCAAGTTAATAAGGAACAAGCCTAAATTGGTTGGATTTAAGTTTATTGTCAACAACCATTTTAATATTAAAAAAATTAAATATATTTTTGCATAATATAGGTTTATCAAACAATGAGTCAGTTAATGAAAATATTGGAAAATGGAGAATGTACTGACATGTATGAAATAGATTTTAGAATTATTATTTTATAAATATAGATAAATAAAGATGCTTGTAGTTAATCCATAGGAACTAATGGAAATTTCCAAATGCCATATTTGATGAACATATTTGTCCCCACCTTTCGAAGAAGCAGGGGACTATTAAAATCTGCCTGCCTGTCTGTCTGTCACACTTTTTGGGACACAATATCTCTCCTTCTAATTGAGCTAGAGTGTTCAAACTTGGTGTAGGTGTTTATTAAGTGAATGTCTTGATGGAGTTCGAAGATGAACATTTTTTGCTTAGGGTAAGCAGAGATAAGCAATTCAATTGTTTGATGCTTTGGGACACAATAAGGTTAGTTCTAATTAAGTGAGAGTGATGAAACTTAGTGTATAGCTTCATTACATCAAGTTTGATAATGAGCATTTTGGTCAGACTTTGGAACATAACAACTCTGCTTTTAATTGGGGTAGAATGTTTAAACTTGATGTAGATGTTCATTAGGTGAATGACTTGAATGATTAACATTTCCCACTAAAGCTAAGCAGAGCTAGGCGATTTCATTGGTTGATGCTTTGGGACAAGATAACTTTGATTCTAACTGATGGAGAGTGATGGAACTTAGTGTATAGTTTCACTACCAGGTACATCAAAACCTTGACTGAGTTTAATCGTGAACATTTTATGCTTAGACTAAGTATAGGTAACCAGTTTGATTGCTCAATACTTGTGCAATTAATCAATATGTATCATCTATTTATTTTGGGATTTTGGTGGGGGACATCGTCGGACTCACTGTTGGCTTGTTTCCTTTAATTGTGGGAAAGTGTATCTCAGTCACTTGATTTTTAAAATTTGAAACAGTAAAATTGTTGTTTAATTTCTTATAATTATAATATATCAATATTAATAGAGACAAGAGTTTTTATGATGGAGTGTATCTTGTATGGTTATGTTGAGGGTAGAAATATGTTGTCATAATCTGTTTACATGAAGAAGACATGTTTATATAAAACTGGTTCTGTTTATCATGTGATAAATAAATACATTTTCAACAAGTTTTTCAGAAAATTGAATTAGTTCTACTTGCAATTGTGAACATTACAGGCACAATATTGCAGACTAAAAGGCAGAGCAGTTCTACGTTATGGCCATCTAAATTTCCCATTTATTTCTTTTAATGTGTCTGATTGTCATTTGCTGGACTTTTGCATCCATTGCAAACAACAAAAATGGTTAAATTCCGTTCAGTATACAAACAAGTGGTTAATTCAAAATTTGTTAACATTTAGCAATTTATTAGCATCCTCTGCAGCAGATGATATTAACAGGATGATCAAAACCATTTACATATTTCAAAAATTTGGTGGACTAATGGACTGAACTGGTAATAAATATTTTTAAGAGGTGGAGAATGTCTGCCAGAATGTCGGCAGAAATTCCTTTCTATAATTATCATTATCTTGTGACATTACATCTGATTTAAGGGTTATCACATATATGCTGCATTAAAACATGGAAGAATGTTCACCATGTTATAGTGTGAGCATTTTTCACAGTGTAATAAGTCGGAATAATCTTGGGAGAGATAATGTTTATATTCTTGATCTATCTATTATGGTTACGACTGGCATATTAATGATAGAAACAAGATAAGCGAGGGGATTGGGAGATGAATTGATGACTTCTGTTTAAGCAAAACAAACAGTACTTGAATAGTAGATACCCCAGAAGTGGATAATAAGATGGTCACTAACTAGCCATCAGCTATAAATCACTGGCCATGTCATGGATGTCCTGATTGTGTGGGGGGTCATTCTGAGGACATTCTCATTGTTATATTAAGAGAGTGTAATAAAAGATAACAGTATTGAATGCATACCAGAAAAAGAGTTTCTTTTGGTCCACGAGACCATAAATTCTCACCTGATATAGCTACTATTGGGTTTTTATCAATTAATATAAGGTTACTTAAGGGATTTTTACACTCCGTTGAAAACATTAAAGAAAATCCATTAGATATATAAAGTAGATATAGTTGAATCATGTCAGCCCATTAACAGCTTATCATCATACTATTTAACAGTTTATGGAAGTCGTGAAAGAATGCTGATGTGATTAAATATAAGCTCTTTTGAATAATTTATAATAGAGAGAGGAAACTGGCTATTTGATAAGGATAGCTTGTAGGTATTGCCACTTAACAACAGATAAGATTGTGCTTAAGACACTCTGTATCTCTTTAAAACAGTGAAGAGGGTTTTTTTTTCTGTCATAACTTTCAAAGAATCTAGTAAACAAAACTGGTTAATTTCAAATAAAAGACTGCTGTATTCTTGGTTTCCATAGGTGGTCAGCAATAAGCCTACAAATGGATAACTGTGTCTACATATTTGCCTTAGTCACAGTGCCAAGCAATCATCAATTTATCAAGTCATTCGTATACCGGTAATTGA